TTTCTTCTCCCTCTCAGTGAAAATTGAACAAGGTTCAGCTGTGAAATTATCTCCCAAAACTTATGTCGTATAGAAATCAGAAATCTGAAAAGCAGGACCCTAAACAAAGTTCTACTTTTTAAACACATCGCAGTCTTCTTTTCCAGTAATTATCATGCATTAAGGTTTACATAGAAACTGCAGAAACAGACCAGCAAAACATTTTACCATCCAGTCACCTAAGACTCCACTATGTATGTGTTCACACAAATGCAGTAACTTGCTTGTGTGTACTAATTGAAACGGGATAGTAAAAAAATAGCTTAAAAATCAAGCAGGTTCATGGTTTTTCTTTTTCTTCACACGACCATATATATATTAGAACTACATAAAGTCAAAAAGAAAAGTATAGAAATGGAGAGTAAATCATACTGTTTATAATGGCAAACAGAAGATCATCTTTTCGGACTCCAAGTAATTCTCTAACATGCTCTCTAAGAACCCTTCTCGCCACGCTGTCTTCAGCTACTTCCATCAAGTCTTTGCTATTGCCAAGATGCACAACATAGGTCTCAGGCATCTTAATCCTGCACCATTGGAAGTATATAACTTCTTGTTATTACGTACAAGGACGACTAGATAAGATCCTGAGGAAACAGATCCAGATGATTTTTGCAAAAATCACTACGTTAAAAGTATGGATCGAGTATTTAAGTCGAAATAGATGGGAACAAGGCTACATGAAGACTGAAAAGATTTCGAACAAGCCATGTCTTATGCATGTTCACTAAATTAAATCATGGGTTGGGGGGTATCCATCATCTGAGTAATATGCCCAGTGGCTAAAGCATCATTCTGATGATAGATATCGGTTGATTTTAAAACATATAACAGTATTTGGTTGGATACAAGTCTAAATAGCAATAAGTTATACACAAGTACATAAATTACCATACCCTAGCCTCTCATGAGTCCTGTTCTTCCAGTAGTCGGCAGTGGTATGTGAGTCGATCATGGCACCTGCAACAAAAGGGAGGTGCTTAACATACTCCAGTTTAAAGTAATGCCCTCGCATTTCATGAATCCACCACAAAACCTTGGGAAGCACACGAGGCACATTATCTTGGAGCACAACATCCAGCCACTTGCCGGCCACGGCTGTATTTAAAACAACCAGATCAGCCTTAAGAGCTGTATCAACGGCTTCCTGCCCCTTAGCAGGCAAAACCTGCATTGAATTAAAAGGGAAAATAATTAAAAAATAAAATGATTCAGTTTCCATCAAAGACTAGTCATCGAGATCTTGAGATATGAACTTGGGCATACCTCCACTCCTCTGTCTTTCATTCTTTCTTCCAGACTGTAAATCACTTCATCCAGTTCAGTGGGCTTCTGATTAGTGATCCACACAACCCGTGTGCCAGCAGCTCTCAACAAGAAGGCAAGTTCCATTAACAGTAACGGTCCACCTATTACAAGAAGTTGCAGAACAAAACTATCACACAATAGTCTTGTAAGTGATATAGTAGTTAAAAAGCATTCGTGTTATTCAAGGCTGCTTCTTAAACGATTTGTCTTTCCTTATATGAAACAGTTCACGAATGCTCTTGTACCAAACAACTCAAAAACAAAAATTCTATGCCTCTTTCTAAACAGAGCATACTCGTTCACAAGCTCAAGCAACTAATGGCGAATGACAGTATCATCTCGTTCTCGTCCTAACCAAGGAAGAAATAATACTTCCTAATCAGATTTCTCCTCAACAATTTCAGTTTTAAAAAAAAAAAGCAAAAAATAATGTAGAACATAAACTTACCGGAAAGCGAGAGCTCGTGGGAAACCAAAAGGACGAGCTTCGATTTCATAAAACTTAGCGGATTATCTTCTTTCTCGTGAACGGGAGAGTTGAAACTCTTGCTGTCAGAGTAATCCTGAGAGTTACAGGCTCGGAACGAGGCCCCGATGAAGAAGGCAATGGCGGTGGAGAGGGCGATGCACAGTAATATCACCAGCGACCATCTCTTTGGGATCGAAATCAACGAATGCCTCGCCATTGTAGGGTTGCTTATTGCTGGCGCGCTAAAGATCAAATTCGACACCAGACTGATGCATTTAGGGTTCAGATTTGGGGATTTCAAAGGTAGAACAGTTGAAGATTGTAGGTTTACAGCTCAATTGGATCTAAAGCTTTCACTTCACACTCCATAGCCATCCTTCCATCGCATCGAACGACACCGTCTGTTTGGGCAAAGCTGGCAAGCCGAGGTGAAAAGTAGAAATCGGATTTACGGTGTTATTTTGGTAAAACTAACTCATAAGCTAACTGATAGCTAATAAGCTAGATTATTAATAATTTTTCGAGCTTATAGTATAGCTTATTTGGTAGATAAATAAGCTAACTTATAAACTTCATGTATTTAAATTTAGCTGATAGATTAAAAGTTAAATTATATGACAAAAGTGTTTGGCAAAATTAGCTGATAAACTAGCTGATATAAAAATTTCAACGAGCTTATTTGTAAAGGCACCTAAAGAAGCTTATCAAATAAGCTCGTCCTATCAAACGGGAGTTCCCCTATATATTAATCCAGAACGCGTTGAGCCTACGTGGCTGCTTCTGGTGCTTCGGAATCTTATATGGCAAAATTACATGTTTCGTTATTAGGTTTTAATTTAATTCCAAACAAAAAATAATTAGGTTCGGATTACCATAAATATGTTGATTATTTATGGTCATGTTACATGTATTAATTGCATTTTAATAGCATTCCTTATTATAACTATTGAATCGTATATATATTTTAAAAGTTAATAACTTTTGTATTTATTTATCAGTTTTACATATGTAATATATCAAATTAATTTTCTCTTGATAAACTTCGATTTAACATTCATATTGTATAATTACAAAAAAAAAATAATTTATATTTATCTTTATAACAATAATAAAATTATTTTTAATATTAAATAGAAAAATAAAATTATTTATCAACTAATATATTTATATTTCAAGTAGTTGTATGATATAAGTTATAAAAACTAATATAATATGACATATGTAAGTCACAAATAACACATATCATTCTATAGTAATATATATATTTTTTTTTTGTAAAAAAATAAACTAAATTAATATAATTTTCTCATTAATTTTAAAATTTAAGAATAATTTTTAACAAGCACTCGTGTATTACACAGATGTTATGCTAATTTATTTGAATACAGAGGGCTTATAAGCAAATCAAATAAGCTATAAACTGAAACATAGCCTTAAACGTTTACGCAATTGTTTTTTCTGTTTGAATACTCATAACTTCCGTTAGTCTTACCATTCTAAATGTGTTGATAGTGTTTGTCAAAAATTACACTGAGATCCAATGGTGCAGAGCTTATACATATTTCAAATTATTATCCATCCACCAATAAATATAAACACGACTTATTCAACTCGCTTTTCTCAACTTACATTTTTCAATACAATTTTTATGATTAAAAATAAATTATAACCGTACGACAAAAATCTATTGTAAAATAATAATAATCTTCCAATATGTTTCTTTACCAAAGCAAAAACTTCATCAAAAAAGTACATGTAAAATAATAACTCATGTAATGTCGACAACTAATTTTATATGTGCACCTAATGCATGTCCGGTTACCGAACACAGTGTGCCATTTTTCACACTGTATCACCAAGCACATATTTTCCGGTCATTAAACATGAACCTGCTCGATCGAACAGCAGCACCACACAAATCTACGGTCAAATTTGAAGCAGCAATAGTTTGATTTGTGCCACCTCATTTATTAGTAGATTCCAACCATTTACCTTCAAACATACAAAGTACTGATACTAGATACATAAATACATCAACGTTAGGACATTAGAGCTATCGAATGTTTTCATGCCTTGCAAGGCGTCAGTCCAGAGCAAACGTAAAAATAAAGATTTTTTTTTTTTTTCCTTTTCCTCCCCTAACTTTTACAGGGAATGAATTTCAACAGACCTTGAGAGTTGAGAGAGATAATATCACAAGTTTTCTCGGGAAATAAGGGATCATAATCATACTTTATCATCATGGAACCACCATCTCGTTTCCTTGGGAGATCGCCCGTTCTTACAGTTCTTCACATAACGGTCGTTGTCAGCTGGCCGTTGCTGCATGGGCCCCGGATGTAAGTAGATTGAATGTTTAAGACGAGAGAGTGAACAAAAATCGAATATCAAAATACAAAAATTAAAAACTGTACATACCTTAACTGGGGAGCTTGACAACATAGATAGGATGCTGATGCAAATCGAACTAACAGTCATAGCTGGGGACCAAGAGTCGTATAGAATATCTGTAGACATGAAGTTTGGAAGAAAGAAGAATTATGGCGAATGGATATAGAAAATATCCATTTTTGTCCCATTCGTCAAGGTTTATAATTATTTCATTGAAATTGTGATTGAAACAAAAGCATTTCACAGAATATACTATTCACCTCATTTTCTTTTTCTTTTTATCCTCCACAATTCCGTAACACGATTAAAAAATAAAGATGATCATTATTATATATTTTCCAACAAAGAGAACTATTCATTCCCTCACATATTGCCAACTATCAATCACTATCACTTAATATTTTGTTACTTCTATATCAAATTAACTCTAATCATTACATTTTTATCTTATACTCATTTATAATCTCAAAACTATCTCATTTTTTTTCCAAAAATAATCTTTTCCACATTGCATTCACCTTTTTCGGAGAAGACAGTCATCTTAGGAACGAACTAGAATAGTGGATAAAAAGAGTCCCTTTTTTATTTTTTGGTATTACCCTTAAGTGGTCTGTAAAGGCAATAATATTCCGAATGTGACTGCAAGGTAGAGGGAGATCTTATGAAAAAGCCCCAATTCTTACAATTTCTTGTAAAGGATGTTGCTTTTTAGCTACTGAGTGCACAAAAGCATAAATACCTATCCATTTCAGAAATTTATATTCCTCCCTCCATCGTAAAAACTCTCGATAAGGGAGAAATCTGAATCACTAAAACTTAACTCATCTGACATCCAAAAACAGGTTTTCTGATTCTACTAATTCAATCTCATTTCATTCATATAACACTTTACTACAAGCTATTCGGTAACAAGATCAGTCGGATAGCAACCTCTACGTAACAACAGAAGTAAAAATATCACACTGTCCTTCTCCAAAATACACAACCACATCTTATATTCAAGGTAAAAGAAACAATCGAGAGGGCACAAGAAACACAGCTAAACATATATGGCCATTACTATAAATGTGAGGATGTGGAGGAGCTGGAGGAACAAATATAACCTGCCCAACGAACAACAAACAAGAAGCTCCATAACTAAACCAACCCAAACATAAATACACAATCATAACCACCACCCAAAACTCACACATAGAAGACAGAACACCTTAAATCACACTCCAATAAATTCCCAATCGTGCGTACAAATTCAAATAACCACAACAACGAATTTCGAACCGACGAGTACGAATATACCTGCGGTGCCTCCATTGGGTAATGCTCCGGAAAATCGACCTGAAGCTGGTAAGTCTCCCCTGCGTAAAGGGTACCTGGGGCACCGTTGACCTCAATCACCCATCTAACCATATGCCCAAAGCTCAAATCAAATACTATTCCGCAAATACATAACAAATTATTCACAACAAAACCTAAAACGATAATAATACTAAGTGACCTTTGAAGATTATCAGTGACTTTGTGCTTGAAACCCGCCGGCGGGTTCACCTGCCACTCGACCAACTCTTTCTGCAGCCGATTGCACGCGATCTTGCTCAGCGCCTTCAATTTCCACGCAAAAAAAATCGATTCCAAAATAAATAAATAAAAACAATCAGTAATTAATCAATCAATCAATCAATCAATCAATCATCGACGTTTATATTTCAAAAAGGAAATCAAACGAGTTAACAGACAACATCAATTAAGAAATACGACCTTGCGAGCGGATGCAGAGGGGGCAGTCATGGCGTCGGGCGGCAGAACAAAATTGGTAGAGAGAGAAAATTTCCAGAGAGAGAGAGAGAGAGAGGGCAATAAAGATGCTTTTGGTGCTTGATAGCGTTTTCTTCACACAAAGGAATTTAATTTTTTAGTATTTTTTTTTTATTTATTCTTTTATTATTGACAGACTTTAGAGATATATTGGCCCCGTTTGGAAGATAGCAGATTGAGGATAAATTAACGGTTTGGACTTAATTGAGAAGTTTGACCCGTCAAATCCGCTATTGAGCTTGTTTGGTAAATAGCTTATTTGGTAAGCTTTTTAGGCCCAAGACTCTAATTTAGAAAAAGCTCATTAGAGGAGCTTTTTGCGAATAGAGGATTCACAATCTACAATTTTAATTTAGAATTTTTTAATTTGTATTATTTATTTTACAATCTACATTAGTTTATGATGCTAACAAATAATAATATATGTCATCCATATGATTAATTTATCTAGAAAAATGTAAAATTCATAACTTCTTAATCAATTGTTAGTAATTTTTTTTTAAAAAAAAATATATATTTATAAATTACCAACTAAAAAATATTAAATGTTTTAATATATTATTATTAAAAAAATACACCATAAATAATAAAATGTCTTTATTGGTAATTTGCAATGTCAAACAGCTATAAGCTTTCAGCTATTTACCAAACACTTATTTAAAAACCACTAATGTAATCCGCTAGTCAAATCAACTAATATAACCCGCTATCCACTATCCGCTAATACAATCTACTATCCGCTATCCGCTATCCACTATCGCTGATCGCCAAAAAAAGTCAATATACGTACAGTTGAAAATGGAGAGAATTGAGTTTGACTTGTGTTTATTCAAATTAGATGGAGATCTGTGCCTTGGTCAAGAGGGCATTCGGATCTGACGGTTGGAGATCAGTTTGGCCCACACGTGTCTGGTTGGCGAAGCTGCTGCCGCGGTGCGTGTCCCGTAGGAAGGCCTCACTGTGTGTGGGAGTGAATCCAGCACCAATTAGGTTACGTGTAAAATAAAATAGTTAATAAATTAATAGGAAATGCTGCTGTCCTATTACTTATCATTTGGTCGGGTGTTTTAACCGTTGGACATTCAACGATTAACCAACGGTTAAAATACTCGATGGAATAGTACTATAACGGACCATAACATCTCCCTTAATTATAAGTGAATTTTAATTTTATAAGTTGATAATTTACGATGGATGATTAAAAATATCATTAATGAAATAGAATTATCAATTATAAGTGAATTTTAATTTTATAAGTTGATAGTTTACGATGGATGATTAAAAATATCATTAATGAAATAAAATTATTTGGTAAAATTAGATGATTAGTCAGCTGAATAAATATTTAATTGATTTATTTGAAAATCTATCAAATGAAACTTACACGTCATGTTTGAATTTTATTTTTTATTTTTTAAATAAAATTGTCTAACCAAAACAAACAATAAACATATGAGATAAGTTTGAGTTTTTTTATAAAAATATAAAAAACTAACAAAATCCTCCTTATATATTATTCTCGAATGCGCTGATCCTACGTGGCTGTTTCTGGTGCTTTGTAATCATACTTGGCAAAGAATCATGTTTCGTAATTAGGTTTGGACAAATAATATTGATATATTAAATATTAATAATCTAGGTTCGGACATTTCATAAATATTATTTAGTTATTTTAGGTATTTTAATATAACTTTTACTAATATAAACCCTTTAATTCTTTGTAATTTTACATAGTGAGACACTAAGTGACTAATATATCCCCGACTTTTGATTTGTTTCCTTCAATTAGCTTTTGAATTGTAAATGTATTTTAAAAGTTGATAACTTTTGTTTTTTTATCGGTTTTACATATATAATATATCAAATTAATTATCTTTTGATGATCTTCGATTTGACATCCATATTGTATATATGAAATAAATAAATCATATTTATCTTTATAATAATAAAAAATAATAATATTTATTAAAATTTATTAGAAAAATAAAATTATTTCTCAATTGATATATTTATGTTTAATTTAGTTATATGTTGTAAGTCAAAAAAAATATTATAATATAATACAGATAAGTCGCACAAATAAAAAAGTGTAATACTAAATATATAATAATATATATATATTTATAAAATGTATTGAAATTTCATTTACTTTTTCCCATTAATTTTAGATTTTAATAAAAAATTAGCAAGCACGCGTTTAATACACGGGCGTTGTATTAGTAAATTATAAATTAACTTATGATACTTATCAAACACACACTTCCTAAAATTTTGATTGCAAGCAGGGGCGGACGCAGACATTTAAAACTAGGGGGGCACAACATAATTCATATAAGAACAAATAAAAATACCAAACATTACATTACAACTGTTCTCTACAGTTTCTCATATTCTTGGCCTTTTTCTCGGACATTTCTTTCATCGTCAACACTCGTACATTTTCGTTTATAATATGTATCTATAATTAATATACCAAATAATTATAACATTAAACATTATGTTAGAACTTCGAAATGAGGGACAAGAACAAATTCCGAGCTAATTTAAAACTATTATTACAATTATAAAAGTACCTAAAACAAATAATACACCAAAAAAAAAAAATCACAACAAATAAGATATAACATTTAAGATGTTATTTTATCAAAATCATGAAAGCCCTAAATTTAAATTACATCAATTTTGAAAATTTCCAAATACAAATTTAGGGTTATAAAAATTAAAAAGCAATTAAATAAAACATACCTTTTAAATAAAAATTAATAGCTATTTGAGCAAGTAGAAATTCAAATTTGAATTTT